ACTATCTTAATGAAATTTTTATTAAAAAATTATTAAAAATTTTATTAACCGCTCGTATACAATAATAATTATTTGAAACACTTAAGGTTTATATAAAAGAGTCTGTAAACCAATACTTCTTCTTTGATGTTCTTCCTACAACCTTTAATCAAACTTGATTCACCCATACATTAGCCAATTGAATTTGAAATAAATAAATTCAACTAAAATAGATGTATGAATGATGAAAAAATAGCATAAACAAAACTAATACTCCAACTATGTTGACATTCACTGTCATCAATTTCTATAGATCTTGTCATCGGTATAACAACTTACTTTTAAATCAGCACTTGTTTTTTTTTCTATTCCGAGGTCATCTTTAAGAACATAGCATCTATTATACTCACTTACTTACTTACGCCCGTTACCTCTCGTCGAGAAGCATAGGCCGCTCACCAACATTCTCTATCAAACTCTGTTCTGGGTAATTCTTTTCCAGTTGTTATTCATTCTTTTTATGTCTCCTTCCGATTGTCGTCACAGTGTGTTCCTTGGCCTCTCACTTTTTCGTTTACTTTCAGAATTTTAAGTTAATGCTTGCCTCGTAATTCAGCTTGATGATTTCCGTAATATGTCCTATATGTCTTATCCACCTCCATTGTCTTTTTATAATTTTCTCCTCAGATAAAGACCGATTTGTTCTCTGACATTGTATCCGATTGTATACGGTCAACAAATCTAGAGGTTGTGTTATATGGGTTGGAGTTGCTGACCCTATGCTCAATCCTCCCCCTTTACCCAGGCTTAGGACTGTCAGCAACTCTAGGAGAGCTACAGTCCGAGTAAGTATCTATCATAGATACTGAAATATTAAACAAATCATCTTCCTTGTACTCTATCAATCCATAATAATAACTAAAAATAATGTGAAAAATTATTTTTTTTTAAACTTTTTTTTGGACATTTTCTTTTTTCTTTTTTTCTTTCAAATGGTAGATGGTAATTTTAATAAATGGATACTTGGTACATATCAACGTTTTATTAGTCTATATAAAAAGTAACAATATTTTAATAATTATATCGTCGCTAATCTTCACTTTTTTTTATTTTTCATCTTTTTCGTCAACAATAAAACTATTTAGAAGGGGATTTGTGGAGATTTCAGTATTTTTCAAAGTTGAAATCATGAGTCAATTGAAGCTAGACCACCATCGAAAACCTGGAAGCAATGGACGGCCGTTTCGTCCTATTATGGGACTCCTCAGCAATGCGCGTCCACGAACCCTCTCGCGGGATTCGAACCCAAGACCTACCAGTTTCGAGACGAAGCCCTTAACCGATAGACCACTGAAAAGCTATTTGTTACGTTTCTTTTATAAATACTTGAAAAATTATGATTTTATATATTCAATTCATAATATTTTGATGATTAGAATAAAGTTGATTTAAGGGTAGACATAGTGATTAAAACATTTATAGTATATATTGTTTGTTTGAATCTTCCCATTGATGTTTAAGACTGTAATTGATCAGTTTCTTATTGGCTATATGTGTATACTGTACGTATTGCCTCAATATTGTCCTAATTTACAAACTTTATAAGTAAAAATAGATAGTGGCTAACAGTGGAATCCAATTTGACTCGGGTCTCGTTCTTTTTGGAACTCATCAGCTGGTATATAGAAGAAAAAATACAATTCAAATATAAAATTGATTCAATCTAGAAATGTAAATTATTAGGTGTTTATTCAGTAGTCTAAAGGTTAGGAGCTGGTAACATAAACTTGAGGTTCTTCACCCAATTCTGAGTAAAATCGGTGATATTTACCATTAAGGAGTTAAAATAACTGTTCAGCGCTTCTTGGTTTATTATCGTTATCTACATACATGCAGTAACGATATAAACTGTAAAGTTTAAACCAATTAAACTGATAACTGTTAAACAATATGAAATTGAAGTTCATTTTTCAGCTCGAAAATTTGTTGATTTGATAGACATGTTGCCAATAAATGATAATTTGATTTTTTCATATAGGCCATTTTATCTCTTGTTTCTTGAGTAAAAAAATTCAAATTCATTATTTATCCTTTGTTGAAGTTGTTTCTCTGGGATTATTTGAGCTTCTTGTTGTTCACTACTGATCTACTGTTTGTCAGATTTTAGATTGAAGGTTGATGCTTTTTGTTTGGACATTGGTTTGGGAAGAACTTAAAGACCAATAAAATTTCAAGTCTCGATCTTTATTCATTGGTCACAATCATTGATAAATTAGGTGAGTAGTTCTAGAAATGATCTGGGAGAAATAATAAATAAATAGACTCGATACTAATTTACTCTTATAATAAACAACCCGATTATATAGGAAAAAAGCAAAGTATACAAAATCTCTTTTTTTGAAGATATGACAGAAATATCAGAAGGGATTTTTGTGGATATTAATTTTAATAGTTATTATAATGAGTCAATCGATGATAGACCACCATGGAAAACCTAGAAGCACTAGACGGCCGTTTCGTCCTATTTTGGGACTCCTCAATAGTGCCTATCCACCCGCAGTCCGCATTCAAGTTTTTGTTGACAAAAAAAGATATATGCGAGTCCACGATTACGCCCCATGAGATTGGAACTCAGGACCTATCGGTTCCCGAGCGAGCGCCTAATCTCTACAAGACTGGGCCGACATCCAACGGTATTATTATCTAACTTCACTTAATCCACGAAATTGAGCCACACATGACAGAAATAGTTTGTAATCAATATGTTATAGTTTGGTAGAGTTAGATGTAAAAAAACTAACAAGTGGAGATGATTCGTACTTACTTACTTAATTTCGCCTGTTACTTCCAATGGAGCATAGGCCGCCGACCAGCATTCTCCAACCCACTCTGTCCTGGGCCTTCCTTTCTAGTTCTATCCAGTTCTTGTTCATTCTTCTCATGTCTGTCTCTATTTCTCAGCGTAATGTGTTCTTTGGTCTTCCTCTTCTCCTTTGACCTTCAGGATTCCATATGAGGGCTTGTCTTGTGACGCAATCGGGTGATTTCCTCAAAGTGTGCCCTATCCACTTCCAGCGCTTCCTCCTGATTTCTTCCTCCGCTGGGATCTGGTTTGTTGTCTCCCACATTAACTTGTTGCTGATAGTGTCTGGCCATCGGATCCGAAGTATCTTGAGTAGACAACTGTTAATAAACACTTGTATCTTCTGGATAATGGCTTTCGTAGTTCTCCACGGGAGATGATTCGTACTGAAATGAATTTCATTTCCGACCAGAAGTTGCGGAGTATTCCTATCAAGTTTGAGAGTAGAATCAAAATCATCAAACTATTTTGGGTTCTTTATTTTTACAACTACTTAGGTTGGTTAAATAGCTGAAACTGGATAAATATTTAACTGCATGAAGCCAGACCCAAGTCTATCAATTGACTGTTAACAATATGTTTCCGTTGATAATAATTCACACATTAGGAAGATCAGTAGAAAATCTTAGGAAAACATATATTATGTTACAGATCCTGAATTTTATTACTTATTACAATCTAATTATGGATGTCTTCAATATTAAAGCCCACATCCAATGAGCGTATATTGCCAAAATAGACATGAATTTTTAAAAGCTGAATGATACAAACATTGACAATGATAAAACCCATTCATAAATTAAGAGATCAGATAAATCTGAAATTCATTCCTGACTCTATGATTAACCATTTTGAATATCTTAGTCTTGCATAACGTTATTTTTAGCCCGAAAAGTTCAATTGTAACTATACAGACAGTGAAATTAGATGACATGAGTTGGAATCCCGCAGAGAACATCAATCTTCTCGCATTGCTGAAGAGTTCCATATGGCATGAAAATTAAGTCAAAAGGGTTTCCTGTCGACAATCTACAACTACCTAACATCTAAATGTAGTCCATCAGATATTGAGTCCTTTACGGTAATAGACAGATTATAACCTGACCAATAGAACTCGACCAGATCTAAACGACTGGACAAACATTGACATTTGTCACTGTTCAGTAAATAAAGCAGTTGTAAATGACATTTTTATTCTTTATTTTTTGTTTTCTAAGTCAGACTAAATTCATATTTTCTAAAATACAAAATTCACCATTGTTCATAACAAGTAGATATAACTCATGGCTGAGCTCATCATCTCAAGTTACGTTGAGCTAACAACCAAACTAACTGATTATACTATGTGCTAATTACTTATTTGCTGAAGCTTAAGACTAGTACAAAATAGCTTAACAACAGCCTATATACTATATAATCAGTTTATTGAAATGATTATGAAAGACAATTTTACTTACATTTACGCTTTACTACTGAAATATATCAGTAGCTTAACAGCTATTTGTGATTATATTATCATTAGCCATATATTTTATGCAGATCAAGTGCCTTATTTTCAACTCAACTGCTATAAACAATGTTTTCTTATGATCAATAGTAAAACTGACATGGCTTTAGGATTATTAAGAAAGTTACAGTTTCTATCCTTTTATATGGTACAACATGACAAACTATCTTTATTACTACTAATCATTGTTATTTCTTATAAAAAACTGAATACTTAGTATTAACCAAAGTTAAGATATGTATGGTATATCCACAGCTACTCTATACTTCCGTGCACGATATAAACTGATGCAGACTTAGGTTAGAAGGCATCTATAAGCCATCAAACTAGGAAAGTCACTACATAATTAGCTTAGTGATAACATACAAATCCATATCTTACTAGAATCATATATATTTAAGATCACGAGTCAATTGAAGCTAGACTACCGTGGAAAACCTGGAAGCAATGGATGGCCGTTTCGTCCTATTGTGGGACTCCACAGCAGTGCGCATCCACGACCCCGCCTCGCAGGATTCGAACCCAGGACCTACCAGTCTTGCGACAGAGCACTTAACCGATAGACCACTGAGCTAGCCGACATCCAGTGGAGTTAATTGCTAACCTCAACCAGAATCATTAGTTACTACCACATGACAGAGATGTTTTCTTAACTCGTATTATTTAATAAAGAACTTGCACTTATACATCCTTACCAATTTTGTTCAATCATTTAACATATAATAAATAACTAAGATAATCTAATAAATGATCATACCCATATATAAATAAAATGTTATTTGTTTCAAAAACAACAAAGAACAAAACAAAACAGTCCTGATTGATCTTCATAGATCATAATACATGACTGAAATATTAAACAACTATAAGAGAATGTTACAAAAATACAAATGTATATATATTTATACATAGTAGTGGTATTAGTATTGATATTAGTAGTAGTAGTAGTAGTAGTATTAGTAGTAGTACTAGTAGTAGTAAGATTATTATTAGTAGTAGTAGGGCAAGTGTGTCGAGAGAAAAAACAGGAACATTTTTGTTTAAATAAAAGTACTCTTTATTCACTGAGAATACTTTACTTTTTATAATTATGAAATACACAGATAGTGAAAGTAGATTAGTATCACTGGAAAAGAAAAGAATAGGTTCACACACAGTTTTCAACGAAATCTTCTATAAAAAAAGAAAAGAATAAAATAAATCAAGTCGAATAATATTAATCTCAAATGAATAGTGGAAGTAGTCACCTTTTTAGTTTATTGAAAAATTACATTTTATTTACAATTGAAGACAGAATTATTGATGTATTTGTAATGTACCTTTGAAATCTTCGGTACTTACGTGAGAGAATGATGTGGGACATTTTTTACAGACAATCGTTTAGCTACTGAATTAAATAATAAGTAGTTTGCTGGATATATGCTAAGATCAGCTTACGTATTTATACGTATATATTGAATACGGTTATATCGAAATTATTGTAGATTATTGACTGCAACCATAACTATATATGCTTGGATAATATATATAACGACAGTTATATGTAAATAGGATTCATGTAAGTTCGGGTAATATTGTAAAAGGTATTGGATTCAAAGTAGTTCACTGATTTTGTCAGGTGTTTCAGACGTCCGTTTCAATAGTTTTATTAAATGACTGTTGTTGTTTAGAAGGGTAGGCTTTAGATTTTTTCGTTTTCACAGTTTCACTACCAGTGCTAGTTACAGGTTTTTTGATGCAGTCATGGTTGGAAACAAACTGAACTGGTGGATTATGACATGTTTTATCATCTGGTGAATGTACAAGTGAAGTTGAGATTGTAATGTCATCTGCAATTTTAAGTACTGTTTGTTTTTGTTCACTGAATAGCTTCTCTGATATATCGACTTCGTTTATCTCTTTATCTGTACTAGTTTCGTTAGTATTATACGTATCATCCTGATCATCTTGATGATTATCAATATTTTCTTCTAAGTAATATCTTACAGGTAAATATTGGTTGTTTTTAGAGTCCACAACTTGACTTTCACATGATTCATTTATTGTTTCATGTAGACAACTTAATAATCTCCCTTTAAGGTGCTCACTAACTTTAAATGAGTGGGTAGATTTTGGTATATTTTCTCCCTCTGTTTTAATACAGAGAGGGAGAGATAAACTTCGAGTAATTTTACTGATGTATGGCGTTGGACTTACATCCTTTTTGCTTAAATTTGGTGCACTCTTTTCTTCTTGTATACTTGAGTTTATTTGGATAGGTGGAAGAGGACCAGAATCATTTGTTGATTTTATTTTTCTCAGCTCTTTAGTATCTTCATTAATCCTTGAGTTAACGAATGTACAAGCGGTCTCATTATTCAATATATTTAACGATGGTGGGGGATGAATTGTTGATTTTGACAGTAAAAGGTCATCATACTCATTATTTTCTTTAAACGATGATCTATTTTCATTCCGTTTAGCCAGATAATTATCCTCTTGATGTATATTTGGCCAACTTGCCAATGATTTAGCTCGATTTTGATGTTTCGTGTCAATAAGTTGATCATTCTTTATTCCAGTATCTATTGGTTTATATTGTTGTCGTTGTTCATTTATCATTGATTCTGTATCACATTTATTATTAGAATTTAAGCTACTTAAACTCAAATTAGCATAACTTGTACACGATTGTACATGGATAAATGTTTGTTTATCTTCAGTTTCAGTTTCTCTATGATAGAAATAATTGAAATTTGAAACAATCACAGGTACTGGTAAAGCAATAGTTAGTACACCGGCAATAGCACATAATGATCCAACAAGTTTACCCCACATTGTTACAGGTCTCATATCACCATAACCAACTGTAGTCATTGTAACTACAGCCCACCAAAATGCATCTGGTATACTACGAAAATATGTTCTATCTGAATCAACTTCAGCAAAATAAACAGCTGATGAAAATAATATTACACATATAAGTAAAAAAAATACTAATAAACCTAATTCACGTGTACTTGCTTTTAATGTTTGACCAAGTATTTGTAAACCTTTTGAATGTCTTGATAATTTAAATATACGAAATACACGAACAAGACGTATTACTCTTAATATAGCTAATGACATAGCTTGATTTTGACTTTTACTTTCATCAGCAACCATTGTACCAACTGTTATAAAATATGGTATTATAGCAACAATATCAATAAAATTCATAATATTTTTAAAAAATGCAATTTTTTCTGGTGATGATGCAAAACGTATTAATAATTCAAATGTAAACCATATAATACATATTGTTTCAATTAAAAAAAATGGATCTATTACTGTTGGTATATCATCTTCAGTAATAAGTAAACATTTCATTGGATCATAATATTGTTTACAATCAATTATTGTTAAAAATAAATCTTCTGTAGTTTTTATTGATAAATTAAAATCATTAATTAATTGATCAGTATTGATTGATGTGATATTGAAATTTGGCAATGATAATAATGATGGTATTATTGATGATGGTGGTGCTGGTGATGATGATGATGATGATGATAATGATGATGATGGTGGTGGTGATGATGATGATGATAATGATAATGATGACGGGGGTGATGATATAGGTGTTATATTATATGAAGATAAATTAACAAATTTATAATGTTTGAAAGATGGTAATGTTTCAATACAAAATATAATAATTGATAATATAATAACAAATATTGAACATATAGCAACACAACGTGCTGCTATAGAACTTTCAGGATATTCAAATAATAACCATAATTTACGTTGAATTTTATTTTTTGGTAAAATTTTTACATCTTCACGTATAAAACCTTCATCATCACGATATTTTTCAATTGCATCTTCATCAATTTCATAAAAATTAATTTCTTCAGTAAATACATCAATTGGTACATTAACTGGACGACGTAAACGTCCACCACTTTGATAATAATATAATATAGCATCAAAACTAGGTCGATTACGATCAAAAAAATATTCATTTCTTAATGAATCATAATAACGATCTAATTTTTTTGGATTACCTAATAATGTATTTGGAAATTTTCTTAATGTACTAAATTGTGTTTCAAAACGTAAACCTGATATATTTAATACAATACGTTGTTGATTTTCATGTGAATATTGTGTTATAGTATGATGTAGATTAGTAGTTGGAATATGATGTAATTGTATAGTATTATCATTAGTTATTGAATTTAAATGAGATGTAATTGTTGGTGGGATTGTTCTTGTTGTTGTTGTTGTTGTTGATGATGATGTCTTCTCTATAATATTATATGAATTATCAAATGATGGTTCATTGGTATGAAATGTTTTTTGCCAATAATTAACATTATCTAATAATTTTTCATTAAGTTTAGTTTCTGAAATACTGTATGGTAAATGAGATAGATTAGGGGAATTATAATTAGTATGTAAACTTGTACCTGAAGATAATAATTTAGTATATTCATGTGTATCTGTTTGACTACGATTTTGTTGTGTTGTACAAGTTTCCTGTGATGAACTACATAATGGTGCATTCGTAGAACCATGAGAAAATACACTTCCTGTATGTGTATAGTGATTAGATGGATTAGATAGACCTGTACTTCCTCCACCAGCGCCAACCATACCACTATAAGGTCGCGTACCGTATGATCTAAAATTTAAAACAAACAATAAAATAATGTACGGTCAGTGGAAGGTTTCACCATCTGTAGTCTTACAGTGTGAACTAACTTTATTAAGATAACCATTGACAAGTTAAGAGCAGTGGGTTAGTGCTTTCATCATTACTCTGGGGTTTTTCAAAGTATTTTGCAATTAATTATCTGATCATGAATTAAGCCAAGGCTTCATAGTAGGACAGCATAAACATTTTTCGAAAAGGTTGGTATTTAACTTCAGTAAGTTTAGGATCTTGCAAAACCACAATATAATTGTCAATGATAACTATCTGACGATCGACATGGTTAAATTATACTAGTCAAGACACTAAACTCAATTTTAAGAATATGTTTTTAGTTTAAGTTGTTCAGAATAAAATTTAGAAAAAACCACAACCTTTTCTTTATATTTTAGTTATTTGAATGAAATCATATTCAAATGAATCTGATTATCAACTATTACATGAGGTTCTGTTTTAATGTCTGTTCATTTATTGATAATAACTTGTATAGTTGATATAGTACTAACTTAAATTAAAAGAGATGCTTTTAAATTGCCAGTTCAAATGTTAAAGTATCAAACAATAAAACTTTGTATATGGATCGTTTTTTAAGGTTGAAATAATCGGCGTTCCTTGTTATTAAAAAAATTTTAATACAGTTATCTGATCGAAAACTTGACTTAATGTAGTAAACTACTTGTTATTAATAACAGTATGGGAGAATTGTTTAGATTGTTGAACCTCATTAAAATCATGAACTGATCAAGGTTAGGTCATCAAAAAACACTTTGAAGCAGTGAAATATTGAAAATTGATTTTTAACTATTATTTATAAATGTTTAGGTCAAACGTTTATAACAAACAGATCATGATCGTGACCAACTGAAATAAAGTATCTTTTCGATGACAAAAAGTTTATGATGCAAGACCGATTTTACAAAATTATACAATTAATTACATAACATTTAAGTTGCATGCAGTGAAATCTAAATGACCCAGTAGTTATGTTAACCGTCAGACTAAAAGAAGGCGTTACTTTTAAAACATTATATGTATCTATATAGGAAGAGAGACAGAGAAAGAGTTTACACAAATTCGAACTAATTATTCCATTGTACGATGTATTCATTATAACTGAGTACTGAACACTGAGAAAAGATTTATATGAATATAATGTTTATTACTGACAATCAAATAGCGATTGAAAGTGACACAGAACTGAATCAAAGATTCGATCAAAGTTGTTATCTATAGCAATGATCAGTATTTTAAAATAATCATCCGTTGTTGGCGTTCACCCTAATTGTTTATCATTATCACGTCTTCCGAAAAACTAGAAAGTTTAGAGTTCAAGATCAAACAATGTGTTCTAAGTATGGCATATGGGTAATGATTATCAAACTCATCAGTTGTCTGGATAACAACTATTTGATTAATATTAGTCTGTGACAACATTTTCTTATGGAAAATCAATTCATTACATACATATGATTTCAATAAACTATGCAGTTTTGTGTGTAAATAAAACCCATTCATCATCCTCCTTCACTATAGAAACAAGAAAAACAAAGACAGTCATCTAGGTTCGAAAAAAATAATGTCAGTCACGTTGAACATTTTATCGGGAAATCATTATTCCCTCAGACAAACAAAAACGATGCATAAATATGGAGAGGATGAATGAAAGGAAGGAAGAAAGAAAGAAAGAAAGAGATAGTAAAAAACAAATATAAATTTGTAAACAAATAAACGTTTCTAACATGATATGCATTTTACTTGATTGATAGTTATTCATATGATTAGTTGATTAGAACAAAATATAGTTTAATACATTTCGAAATAATAAACGAATTAAAAGATAATTGTAAGCTGAAAACATTGATGAAAATATTGTTTTGATAGATGCTTACTTTGTTAGCTGGTCTTCGTTAAACTAATTCATAGGTTTTTATCCGTTTAGTTCTCTTAAGTTATGTAAACTCTACAAATCTTGTTCGATTATCATATAACCCATCTTATTAATTTTTAATTCTAATGATCTTATTTAAACCCGTCATAATCATACAAGTGATGTTATCTATTCCGGACCTCATTTAATTACTCCTTAATTCATCCCCTATGTTTTTAAATTTCATTTTCATATGACCTCCCACCTATTCTTGCATATATATATATATATATATATATATATATATATATTGTATGCCCCACTACGGGAGTATACATCAATAATATAGAAGCAGTGTGGTTGATGATAAAAGACTTGTTGCAACCTTTTCATGGTTTCAGAAGCCGATCACTATGGATTCACATGGATGAGCTCCTGTTGTGTATGCATTGCGATCTCAGAACTTCAGAGCCTTTTTATAACTTTGAAAAGTTTTTAAACCATGTTAAAGAAATGTATTCACTTTAATTTTTGAGGTTTTGTATAATATATTTTTACGATATACCGAATGTTTTCTGATTGACTGAAGATTATCAAGGTCATTCAAGATTCATATTAAAGGTCGTCCATAAATTATAGTTTCACCGACTTAATAAATAACCGTTTACTTTTCAAATACGAATAGATAATTTCATGAAAGTCAATACTAACTTATCACGTAGTAAGCCAAAACACATTAGGTACCAAATTCTTTGCTTATTCCAAGGTTAATGGAACTTGGATAACTGGCATCATGAATCTTCCAACTGACAAGGTTTCCGTTGTTATATTTTCATCATGAAATCCTACCTTTTTTAAACCAGAAGCAGACTCAGTGAAGTAATTTTCATGAACATTTTCGTTGAATATGAGTTTAACGAATCCGTTGAAATACGGCTAAAAGTCATGAAATATTAGTTGACTGTTTAGTCTTTGTTTGACACTCATAAGCATTGAACATGGCTGATCTTATATAGAATCTTACACAAAATATTCCATGTTACTTTAAGATCATAGGTCTAGAACTATATAGAGGACATTTTCAATTCTAATTATTTTATGATAGATTTATCTGCATACATCAGTATTCATCATCTAGCGTTCTTAACTTCGAATTTGAATTAATCAACTAATATCAGTTTGTGATGAAGATACGAACATGAAGGTTAGATTTATAACATTTTTTTTCAGAACACGGCCAAACGATAAGAGTAGGACCAAAGAACATATCACTCCTAGAAATGTAGACAGATATATAAAGAATGAACAACAATTAGATAAAACTAGAAAGAAAAGCCCAGTACAAAGTGGGTTGGTCGATGGCCTATCCTCTATTGAGGGTTACAGGCGTAAGTAAATAAGTTCAACACTGATAATTATTAATTTGGAATGAATAACACAATAGATGTATTTTCAATACTGAATAATTATTTTTTAATATACATTAGAATCACTTAATGAAATCTAAGCTAAAATTATCACTGTGAAATTATATCTAAGAAATTTAATAAGTAGTATTTTTATTAGTAGTAGTATTATCAATTATACAAATTTTTTTGTTTTTTTTCTTCTATTTCTACTACGAATAGAAATACTGATAATGATCTTAATCAATAATAATAATAATAATAAGATTAGACGTTATGTTTCCAATCTTAATTTCGTTCCATTGATAATAATAAAAAAATCATTATCATGTATATACAGTTGGTTCATATTATGATGAAAGTACTTTTAATGTTAAATACCTATTTATTAGTAAAGATAACTTATCTGAATGATAATTTTGTTTATTATTATCTGTTGTTTACCTATAAGGTAAATTATATAATTGATCCCTTTTCTAGATTTTCATTTATATTAATAAAGATAAACTAATATTTTCTATATATATTAAATATATTTTAATCAACTAATAGATATGTTTGTTTTTTGACATGATCCATTTGTAAAGTTATTGTATAAGGGGGGGGGTTTATATAAAATAACAAACATGGTGGAATGATAATAATAATTATTCGATTGTTTTGTATAATCATTTTTACTACTTACAATGACATGCATAAGTAAACGGGTATAAAACAAGTAAACATATTGTATATGTAAAAAAAAATCTTGATCAAATACAAGTTTGACATGTACAAGTAGATTGATAAGAAACAAACATGTTGTTATGAAAAGAAGAAAGTTTCTCATATGAATGTTTACTTATATAAGAATAAATAAACAACAATTGTGAGCAAATGATAATTATCAGTTCATGGTTATCAAAATTATTGAATTTTTGATTGAGATTATGAACTGATCAGTGTTATGACATTATTAAAAATTTGAAAGCACTGGATGGCTGTTTCATTCTAGTATGGGACTCATCAGCAGTGTGCATCCACGATCCCACACATGAGACTCCAGATCACTGAGCCGGCGTCCTACGGTGTTAGTGTTCAACTACAACCAATCAATAATGAGAAAACGTAATCAGTGAAGTTCAACTGCATTGCGTGTGATAAAATGATCATGATATTATACATACAATAATGTAGTCTGTTTAGTCAGATAAATAGTTAACGTTTGGATGTTATTGTAAATATAATCGTAGAGGGGTATTCGAAATCTTACAAATGACTAGCAAATTTTATTTTATGAAATATAAATTACCAGCTTTTATGTCTATCCACTAGGAATACAAGTACAATAAAACAAGTAAACCAGAGTGGATATATGGGTGAGACTATAATTTATGGATGACCTTTGAGTGATATTCAACTGTCTTTGAGAATATCCACCTACTTACTATAGCTAAATGAGGATTATAAAGCAATGTGAAGAACAAAGATTATGATTTACAATTAATGTTTAGGGTTAACAATTTATGGCGTTTATCACTAACTGACATCAGCTAAAATGCCGAAAGGCTATTTAGTCAAATGGATGAATGAATTTCACGCCAAAAATCCAAGACCTGTTGTCCTAAATATGATTGGTTCGTCCATAAATTATAGTCTCTTCGTAGAACTAATTTTAGATTACATTGAAAATGATGAATTGAAGGAAGATGTCAAAA